GTGTTGAAATTACTGTGTTGTTTATAAATACAAGAGATGCTTGTAATGTCCCAGTAGTAGAAGACTTCATGAGTAACCTCTCTATCTGCAGTATGCGAGTATGGCTTAGGAGAATATGTACTGTTGTCGATAGTTATGTAATATAGCTCATCAGCCTGACGTCTTTTTGGCTATCAATTACTCATTTTTCCATTTCATAATCACATATTATTATTTATGGTCTCAATCTTTCTTGTACTTGTGATCCTTGTGCCACTACTGAACATTCTTTGAGAGGCAGGAGAGACGTTACTTGTTGAAGGAATTTCCAGAACTGGCATCTTGCGAGGATAACTCTAAGGTTTTGGAGGTGGGCTGTGGTAACGGGAGTACCGCTCTACCGATATTGTGGTAATCTTTGTATTTTGTTTTTATTTTGGTGGCTTACTAGTGATCATGAAGTCATTCATTGTTATTCTTGATCTTCTCGCATGTAATTTTGGTAAGGAAACAACACTAGTTGACTACAAAAACACTGGTCTGTGTAAAATAAAATACTTACAGACATCGCTGTGGTTGCTTCTTGTGTCTTCAACTCTTCCCTTATAGTACATTTGTTTACTCAATGATATTTCAGTTGAATTTTCCAGAGGTTCATATGGAGTTCATCCGCAGTGCATTTTTTGTTTTAACTCGTCTGTGAGTTTCCTTCTTAAGATTAATGAAATTTGCGAGTGCGATAAAATTCATTATTCTGAATCCAGAGGTTTTCTTGTTTCTTTTTCTTCATTTCCAAAAGCTTTCTCTGTTTAGAAGATTTTTAATGTCAGGCAACAACTTGATGAAGAGGAGGTATCATCTGAAACAAATATGACAGTGCCAGCAACAAAATTTGTGCCTGGTGATGTTTTTTATTCCAAAGTCACTTAAAAACACATAAATAATAGACTATGAAGCATAGTTTGGTTCTTAGCTTGTCGAAATCACTGCTTTATGTTGATATTCTCCCATGTGTATTGAAATTTGTCTATGTATATCATATTGATTGGTAGGGACGTTTTGATTGTCATGGTTTTTACCGTGATCGAGAACCTAGCATTGGGCTTCTGTTGATTTCATGTAACTATGAAAGTGGGTTATATGTTTATCTACTGTAAACCACTTTCAGCCCTCTCATTTTGGCAGGCATGTTAGCTGATTATTTATTTGTTTGTTTTATTGGCTGTCACGAGTTCCAGCTAACATTCTTCATCTTTCTCAGTAGCCTATATATCTGTTAATTTTTGCTTTATCTTTTGCAGTGGACGAGATGGCATCATCTTATATGCCTGTGACTGCAGTAGCACGGCTCTTGAGAAGGCTAAAGAGATAATTAGTTCTGCCAATTCCCTCTCTGCTAATGCTCGTTTTATCCCATTCCTTTGTGATTTCTCAACAACTGGGTTTCCTTCGTGGTTGGCCTGCAATACCTGTATTCATTCAGGACTTTCAGGTGCCACTTTGTTACCATTTGTGTTTCCAGCTTTTCATATTTGCTTCAACTTGATACGCTCAGAAGTATGTTCTTGTGATTTTTATTTATTTATTTATTTATTTTTTTCTGAGGTTTATCCAGATTCAAGCAGATGTGAAGGGATAGATGCTTTTAACTCATTATGCTCTGATGGAACCAAATGCTGCATTGGTGGAGTCGATTTTGTTACTTTGGTACTTAACATTCTCTTGTTGCTATTTATGTATCGTCAGATCCTGAAGATATATTTCATATTTTACGTGTGTAATTCTGACCTTTAACCGTCTAATTTGTGCCAGATATTCACTTTATCAGCCTTACCGCCTGACAGGATGCCTAAGGCCATTGCACAGTGCTTTGCAGTTCTAAAGCCAGGTGGCCTGCTTTTATTCAGAGATTATGGTAATACCAAACAAACTAAATGCATATTTATAGTCATTTTTTATTTTCCATGGTCGTCTTGAAGTCTTTCTAAATGTGGCATGAACTTGAATATGACATTGTTTTCTGGTGTGACAGGTCTCTATGATATGACCATGCTTCGATTTGAGCCTGAAAATAGAATAGGATATCGAGAATACTTACGGTCAGATGGAACTCGGTCGTATTTCTTCTGCTTGAATACTATCAGAAGTTTGGCTACTGCCGCAGGTTTCACTGAGGTATGTGCCTGTGTGTGTGCTTGATCATTTTGTGGTGGTCTTGTGGTTTATAGGCAGATCGAGGATTGTTATGAAGAGTAGTGAATTATATCAAAAGATTTATTATTTGTCTTATTATAGTGTTGAACCTTTATTTATCCGTTGATTATATCAATATGTGAATACGACATAAAATTAGATGGTTTTGGTAAAATCATGCATATACAGGTGCTTATATGATTGTCATTGTTGTGAATGCAGATAATACATAAGTAGTGCTATTGCAAACCAGGGTTAATTTTCTTGAACAAGCTTTGAATATATATGGCAACTAATAAGAATATTGCTTTTTGCATTTTCCTTAATAACAGAGGAGCCAGCTAATGCAATGTGGTGCTATTCTTGAATTACGTGCTGTTTTACGTTGGTTAC